TATATATATATATATATATATATATATATATATATATATACACACACACACATCAGTCCCCATTCCCTATAGAGCAGGGCAGGCTGACTGTCCCCAGGTCACCTGGAGGACACAGCTCCTCCCGCTCGTCTACAGGGCCCATGGCCCCCCAACACCATCTCTACAATGTGCCCCCAAGTGTACTGAGCTCAGCCCCGACCTGTCACCCACGCTGACCACCCCGGGACCCCACACTAACAGAGGACACATTCGTTGTCCTTACCAGGTGCCGTGACCGCCATCTTCACAAGTCCTCTGACACAGCCTGACGTCATCAATCATGGCCCGCGCAGGAAGATATGGCAGTGAGGGCGGAAGTAAAGTTTGCAGCTTCTCACGTGACTTGCGAGTTGCAGACTGACTATGTGCAGCGCCCTTATCATTACCTATACTCGGATCCTTCTGTTTTTTTGTAAGGACACCACCTATAATAGGACTATTAAAGTGGCCGATGTGTGTGCGATGTTCTAAGTGTAATGAATGCGCTCTGTACAGGAAGACCATGCCTGGTTTTCAGTGCGATGTATAAAGTGATAGTGACCTCACATGCAGCTTTCCTACGTGTGTATTTAACGCCAGTAAACGCTGGAGGGAATTCACAAAAACTGGAGGAGACAGAATCTGACGCAGTTCCCCATGGCAACCAGTTAGCTGCGCTCTTTCAATTTCAAAGTTTAACAGACGAAAAGAGAGGCGGATTGGTTGCCATAGGCAACTGCTCCAGATTCTGCCCGATCCAGCTTTTATGAATTCCCCACATTATGCTTATAATGGTAACAATGACAGGTTCTCTTGTCATCCCCGTGCCACCAGTGATACCCTTGTAGCAACATTACCCGGAGCACTGGTGGATCTACCAAGGTTGCATCTGCGACTGGGCCCTGGCATTCCGCCACAGGGGGGGCGGTCTGAAGGGGCGCCGAGCCGGGATTTTTTTTCTACATCTAGCCGCGCTTTGGCAAGCAGACCTAAATGTAAAGCAGAGGAGCCCTTTTGTACGGGTGATTTAAATGGCTATACAGCACAAGAGTGCTCTATCTTCTGTATTAGAGGTCAGGCTCCAATACACCTCCGAATGTTATCACATAGGAGCTTGTTAAAATGCCCCATTCTGCTTACTTTTTAAGCAGAATGGGGCATTTTGGGTCCCATAGACTTGGGCCTACAAAAATTACCATTTTTCAAAACTTAACAATCTCCTCCTCCTAGTAATTCGCTTTCCATTGGCTAAAAACAAAAGGCGCTCAAGCCTGAATACGCCTGAAAGAAAAAGATACATTTATTCCCACTACGTGATTTGGGAATTCTGCAACAGGAATCCCAAATGCCAAATTAAGATGTGGCCGATGTCACCCATTCAGGTTAAATGCCACTTACCGTTAACTTGAATGGGTGACAGCGGCCACATCTAAATTTGACATTTGGAATCACTGTCGCAGTCATTAGCCCAATCATTAATTTGAACGGGTGCAGTGGCCGCTATGATTACATGTGGACTGCCACTTACAGATAAGGCTGCTGTCACCCAGTCATTAAAGGAGAACTATGAGGTGGGTGCTTTTCACTCACCTCATAGTTCTAGCCGACCTGTGACAATGAGACTGTCACAGGTCGGCTCAGTAGATCGGGAGGTGAGCGAACACATACTGGGTTCGCTCACCTCTCGATCCTGTCACGGCTCTCTGCCGTGACAGGGGGAGGGTCTGGATTCCCCGCTCCAATCTGCCAGCGCTGACTGACGGAACGGACGGGGGAGGGTACAGCTGGCTCTGCCTCTAGATAGGCAGAGCCAGCTGTCACTCACGCAGCTGGGCGGATCCCGTCGTCTAAGTCGGGATCCGCTCCGGCTGCGGCGTCTCAGTATACCGCGAGCTTTAGCTTGCGGTATAATGAGCTTAGGGCAACGGGAGGACGCTAGTTTGTGTCCTGCCGTTAACCTGAGAACTATGGGGAAAAACACTGACCCCATAGTTCTCCTTTAACTTGAATGGGTGACAACAGCCACATCTAAACAGATTTGAGATTCCTGCTTCAGGAATCCCAAATTGCATAGAGTGAATGGGGGCTTATTGTTGACATCATCAGGGGCCCCAAAGCCTCTACATCTTTGTGCCCTAAATTGCTCTGTGATTGCTGCTGGACAACCCTCTTTTTTCTGACATCTGCGGCGCCCAGCAGACATTGTAAACAAAGCCCCCTCACTGCGCTGCCTTATTGCTCTCATGCACAATAACCAGTGTCAAGGGTAGAGTGTGTTTAACCATGGAAAGATAGTCACATGACCGACGACCGCTAACATAAAATGTAAGCATAGCCGCCATGGCTGCTTTACTGTGAAGAGCTTGAATTGTGAGATAATTGATCTTACCTGCCAGGCCGACGCTCTTTTTTTCTGCTCTCTCCTGCACAGCGGGGCTGTGAGGGGAGGTTTTGCCAGACCATGCCGAAGCAACAGGAGAGCACAGGATGGAGGGAGCTGGGGAATCAGCTCTTGCAGGGGAAGTCAAGTTCCCAGCCATTTCGAATGAAGATTACAATCAATTTGAAAAAGTAAAACAGCATCAGTAAGGTGTAAAAAAAACTTTAAAGAGGAACCATCATCTTCACCAGGTCTTCTTCCAGGTTTGGGATCTTTGGTTATCTTGGCTGGCTCTGCACCAAGGTTTGCAGAGGATGTACACTGGCTGAGCTGCACATGCGCATTCAGAGGAAAGTGGCAGATAGGTAGGTCAGCTTGTTTTATTGCAGAAAAGACTTGCTATGTCTGCCTATTCGCAATTGTTTTACTTTGTCATTGTAGTTCCCATTTAACTATACTTTTAACTGTTTGTTTTTTCCACTGGCCAGCCATTATTTGTAGCAGAGAAAATCAGGTCTCCTGCCTTGCCAGACAGGGCTGTGTAGTATGGCAGAGCTGGACTGGATTGACAGAAATACAAATGCTTTATCAGATAGAACAGCTCTGATATACAGTGGGGGAAATGTATCAAAACTGGAGCAGACAAAATCTGGAGCAGCTGTGCATGGCAACCAATCGGCTTCTCTCTTCAGTTTGTTCAGTTAAGATTTGAAAATGAGAGAGAGCCGCTGATTGGTTGCCATGCACAGCTGCTCCAGTTTGGATAAATTCCCTTCCGTGTGTATATCATTGGTGTACTGTACACAGCTATTTGCCTGGATTTCAACTTAAGTAAAAAGGTGTAGAATTTGCTCTCAGGTGAGTAAAATGTATGTTTGCTTGTTGGGTAATGTATCTATGGGGAATAGGGAGCTGTGCTGCTGTGTTTGTGCAGCTGCCAACCTGAACCTTTGGCCTTATTCATACTGATCTAACCTTGAGGTATAAGAAAAGGTTTATATTGGGGAATCAAGATTTTCTTTCTCAAATCAGGTGATCCCTCTAGTGGTAATTGAAGATTTATATAGGGGAATCAGGACCACCTTCTGTGATTCCTCTTGTGATAACTAAAGATTTATACAGAGGAATCAGGACCTCCTTCCTCCTGCTGGGTGTACCTCTAGTGATAACTATAGATCTATGTAGGGGAATCAGGACCCCCTTCCTCTGAATGATCCCTCTAGTGATAATTAAAGATCTCTTTAGAGGGGGAAGCAGGCTTTGGCAGGTATAACATATATAGTATGTCTATCAATTGGTGTACAGTACACAGCTATTTGCCTGGATTTCAACTTTAGCGAAAAGTGTAGAATTTGCTCTCAGGTGAGTAAATGTATGTTTGCTTGTTGAGTAATGTATCTATGGGGAATAGGGAGCTGTGCTGCAGTGTTTGTGCAGCTGCCAACCTGAACCTTTGGCCTCATTCATACTGGTCTAACTAAAGATTTAGAGAGAGGAATCAGGAACTCTTTCCTCCTGCTGTGGTAACTAAAGATCTGTATTAGGGAATCAGGACCTCCTTCCTCCCACTGGTGACCCCCGTACCGATAACTAAAGATTTATAGAGAGGAATCAGGACCTCCTTCCTCCTGCTGGGATCACGCTAGTGATAACTAAGATCTATATAGAGGAATCAGGACTCCCTCCTGTTGGTAATGCACCCCAGATTCTCTTTGCTTTCCTCACTGCCTAGCCACATGGCTTACTCATTTTGACGAGAATTAGGAAAGTTAAGAACAGGTTTCTGTGTACCTACTAGAGACAGGACACTGGGATGTTTCCTCCTCATCCCCAGTTCCAGTGACAATGAACAAACGCTAAAATATCCCTCTTTCTGTTCTGGTGATCTGTAAATCAGACAGAGGGAAGGAGTAAATCTTCCCAGTAGGGACATGTAGAGCAGTAATAATCTTATAGAAGCGCTACCCCTTCACCAACCCATACAATAACTAGAACATTATTTTTCACCCTAAAGGAAAACGAGCACTTACCCCTTGCATCCCAGTGGTACTCCTACTACAAGGGTTAAGAATAATTTATCCAGAGTTCTGCTTTAACACCCTTGTATCTACACACATTTCATTATATGCAACACAAATTAGAACGATTCATAGAGGATAAACTCACCATATGCAAGTTAAATTATATTTATTCTGCATAAAATGTACAAAAACCTGTTTTAGTATCAGTTTATACAATGATAATGGATTCACATGTAACATTTTGTGGCAAATCTTCACATACAGCTACATGGTTTTACGGAACTCATCAAAGTCCTGTGTAGAAGCTTTGGCAACGTCTTGGCAGAAAATATCATCAGGCATGGATGCCACTTTCTCTAAGGAGATGTAGTTGGCTTGTGTCGGGTCATACACTGCTCTTCCCAAAAAAGCTAGAAACATGTGTCTTTCCTTTATTTTCAACAGGCTGGAATTAAAAATCTGAAAAGAAGAGTAGACAGTCACTGCATCTTATATTTATCATCCCAAGTCCATTTAACCTGTCACCTGCGTGCACAGTCCCACAATAGAATTAGGCAATTTCTCACAGGACACCACTGATACTTCAAAAGTCAAATCCTGAGCTATTATTAAATCTAATCTCTGAAATGTGTTGCTAAAAAAGAAAAGCATACATTCTCTCTAACCACTTCTGTACCGTCATGTTACACCCCTTCATTACCAGGACATTTTTCAGTAGGAATGCACCAATACCAATTTTTCGGTATCGAGTACAAATGTTTATCTTTCAGTACTGCTGATACCAAAGAACCGATACCGGTACTTCCGCTACCATGGAGCATGCCATGTCATTACCCGCCGCCTGCCTTCTTGATTGCCCGGGGAGCTGACTCCATGCTGATTGGCCAGGAAGTCGGCTTTCCAGCCAATCAGCATTGAGTCGGCCAAACAGCATGGAGCCGGCTTCCCAGCCAATCAGGAAGCTGGGAGGCAGGTCATTATCCGTTGTCCAGCTTTCTGATTGGCCAGGAAGCCAGCTCCATGCTGTTTAAGCAGCTTGTTGCTGATTGGCTGGGAAGCTAGCTTCCTGGCTAATCAGCATGGAGCCAGCTTCCCGGCCAATTAGGAAGTGAGTCATTACTCACCGCCTGGCTTCCTGATTGGCCAGCAAGCTGGCTCCATGTTCCCTCGCGGCACTGTCGGTCAGAGGATATTTCCCTCTGACCGGAAGTTCCGGTATCGGGGGTAAGTATTGGAGCATTTGGGCAAGTACGATATTCAGTATCGGCATCCCTAGATTATAATTGTATATCATTTTTTGGGACAAATAGAGCTTCTTTAGTGGTATCTAATAACTGATTTTTTTTAATTTTTGTTTACTATATAAAATAGTACAAAACCACCCAAAATTACTCCTTTTTGGAAAGTAGACACTCCAAAGGCGCTCTTTTTTTTTCCGCAAGTTTTTGGAAATTAAAAATCATGCCGGTATTGAGGGGATTAAATCATGAAGCTTGGTAATTGTGCACAAGATACAATAAATATAACAGAGGGAGGCAGACATGAAGGGGTTAATGTGTAGATGTGCAAGATAAGGGAGATGGAAGGGGTAATATACAGGTCAGAGCATAGATAGAATGGATCTAATAAGCAGAGGGGGGTTTAAACTTGATTTAGTTTTTTGGTTTTTGCTGCTGCTGCAGCTTGTTTTCCCTAGAAATAATGAATCGATGGCTCATCCATTCATTACTCACTTTACTCTCCCCTGCCTGTAAGAGGAAGGGGAGGGCTTGGCAATGTAAACATTGCCATGTGATCGCTTTGTTAACCAATCACAGCCTTCACAGGACAAAGAGCCGGTCTGCGTTTACAGCAACAGCTTCCCGCTGTCTAATGACAGCGGGAGCAGTGGCTGCATGCACACAGGCTTTCATGGGAGGATGTACAGGTGCGTCCTCCCAGAACAATGTGCCAGTGGACCGGCTGTTTTAATACAGTGGCCGGTCCGCAGGTGGTTAAAGAAAACCTTGCAGGAAGCAGCTCTTTATATAGGGGGACATGTACATAGGGGGACATGTACATAGGGGGACATGTACGGAGGGAGAAAAAAGTATCAATTCTGTTGAGTTTTTGTGGTAAAATTAGGTACCTCGGCTTATATTCGGGACGGCTTATACTCGAGTATATACGGTAATTCCTTCCTCAAGAGCTCTACAGTAGCATTGTGACAGAATAAAACCTGATCCTGACCACTTTATAATTGTGCGTCTGTTTAGAATAACAATCTGTCACATCTACATTGATCAATCTGTTTGGCTGCCCAGGCAAAAAAACTGGAGACTTGCCACATAGGCTTATGAAAAAGAGAGGTTGCCAGATTTTCATCTAATTGTGTGGAAATAAATTGCTTGATAAATGCCCCCCCCC